AGAAACGTTGAGTCACAGTAGTCATGTGACTCGATGACGCAACAATACCTTATGTAGGTATTAGATAAAAATATATATATATATATATAATAAGATTTTAATAATACTGAACAGATTATAATTATACTTGTCAAAGACATTAGTATTAGGCCTATTATATTTCTAATCACTACATTCTTTACGTAGTACCTTAGGGAATTTGCAGAATTAGAAGATTGTATAATAATAGTATTCCAGTCAACCACACTGTATTTGTCATATCCATTGCTGATGCCATGTTTTGCTTAATTCAGAGCTCTTCAGACTGGCTGGGATACAACAAACACAGTAGTGACAAAAACATTATTTTTATAAGCCATTTGTTATGGTGTGTACACCCATGTTCTGGATATATTTTATTTTATTCAAATGCAATGCTACTGCATTAACCAATAATTGTACCATACCACAGAGTTGAATTTGATAATCAATTAACTGTCGTACTCATTAATTGTTTACATTTAAATAACTGATTATTCTCACGTGACACTTTTATAGTTGTAATAATTGGAAACAGTAATTTCAATTAGTTGATTATTTCTGTGAGTCATGACATTTATTGATCAAGCTGTACAACCTTGAATTAATCGAAAATAATAATGAGAAATCAAATGGAAATATTTTGATTACTTGGATAGTTGGAATAATTGAAAGCAGTAATTATAAGAAACACTAATTTTGGTTCATTGATCATTTTCATGACATTAATCGATTTAATCATAATTTTGATTAATTGATTATTTTCTTGAAATCAATCAATGTAATTGATGTTCATAGGTATCAACTTAATTGCCTAGCTCTACCATATTATTTAAATCACACTGACAAGATCACATTGGGAATATATTCACATTGTTTTGTTGTTTCTCTTATCACTCATAAGTGGAAAATTGCCATGTCATTTTTACATATTTGGCACTTAGTTTTCGTGCTATATACATTAAATGTTTATTGATATTATATGAGATATTATGATGCAAAAATGCTCAGTCAAAACAACGAGAAAAACTTAGAAGGTTTTAATAACATGACGCAACAATACAATAAGTGCCAGTTCAAATCAATTGAACTACATAATGTATGATTCATACACAGTTACGTAAACAAACCTGAGGTATTCCCAATGGTTCTAAACATAACTAAATTTAACATTGCATCAAACTCAAATTGAAATAGTCATGTATATCTAAATATATATATCTTTAAATTATTATTATTATTATGAGGACTGATTTGCATATCCATTCTAGGACCTTTTCAAATCTTTTCTTGAACTCTATGGATATGCATACCACCAGTTGGGAATCAGTGGTCTATATTAAGGCACTCTTGCAGTTTGAATAGTAGGAAATAAAAGCTGTGAAAGAGAAAAGAAAAGATTGTTGTAATAAACAAAATATAAGTTATCTTTATGCCAATGAATAAAAATTAACAAAATTTTATTTTTGGAGGAATTTAAGAAAACTGCAAGGGAGAGAACTAGGAATGGACTGCCTTTTTTAGCCCACTTGAATTAAGCTTCAAAAGATAGTTGCACTACTAAATGATTTTAAAATACTTAAACTTCAGTTTCAAATATTGAACTGTATTGTACCAATTTTATTGCTTTTAACACTCTTAATTTCTCACGCAAAATGTTTTCTTATTCCAGGTCACAAAGGTATCACCTAGCCCAATAGAACTGGTTAATTTTGTGATGTCAATACCAATAACTCTTGGCACAAAAAACTGAACAGATGTTGTACATCCGTCAGGTTGAAGTATGTGTATTCCACTTATAAATGTCAATACAGTAAGAAAACTTCCTACTGTGTACCCCTTTGCCAGTACTGTGGGAATATATAACCCTGCTCAAATTAAACAGTAGTGTAAATACTTTCACTATAGTAATTGGCAAAATAAAAAAGATGATAGAATATGTTTACAGATTATCTGGAAATTTCAAATGTTTCATTTTCTTATTCTTGTCATTTATATCTTGATATAGCAAATCCAGTTAAAACAAAAATAAATGTTATTAGTCATTACCTAAAAGGATTTTTTTAAATAGATTTATGTAATATACTTAATTCATTAAATATTTTGCAATAAAATGTAGAATAAAACATTTTTTTAAATAAATAGGTTGGTGATGGCTCAAATACTTATGTTTCTGGTAACTGTGACCTAAATGCAGTAGATGAACTGAGTGCTAGACATGCAAATGGTTTTAGGAAAGATACTCCAGCTGATGATATGAAGGATGATAGAATGCATCACATATTGGTAAGCTTCTGTTTAAGTCACACACACTTCTTTCAAAAGTCTTTGCATTAACATACATGTTCAGTATATTGTCAGTAAATGTACAAACGTTTCCAAGAGTAATTTATCATAAAACATTATATACTTTCAATCTTTTTAGTTCTGCTGATGAAAGCATCTGCAAATTATGAACATGATCAGATTGAACAAATTATTCTAACATGAATTTAAATGGAAAAGTAATCAGCAAGAAAGGGTCTTGATAATACTGACACTTGATATCATATTCATTTTTCTTCCTTTGAAAAGTGATTTTTGGAACACTTTGTATTGAGAAATAGTCTCAAAAATCATAGTTTTTTACTTCTTTGGAACAGTTTTTATTTTATATATTAAATTGGAGTTTGCTACGGCAAATGATACTCCCAGTGGGTTTTTTCCCTTTAGTCTGGGTTTTGAAAATATACCTCCAGTGAACTAATAAAGTGAAGATATAGAAATATACAGCAAAAAATCATCTGCTATTACAGATACTGAAACTTTTCAACAGCCATATTGGGCTCTTATTACAAACCTTACTTTTCAGATAGCAAGATCAGTGCTATTGTTACCATTCAAAAAACAATGAACATCGTTTTCATCCCTAATTGATATTCTTTGTGAAAGAGTAGCTTGATAATTATGTTTATAATTATTGTAAATTAACCATTCAAAAAAAAGTGTCCTTTTACTCTCAAATTGTTCCCACAAATCCAAACAGCCAATTTGCCTGTCCTTTCTGTATTAACCTAATTCTAAAATTCAGCCCCAGTGATGTACTTTTAATCTCATTCCCACAGTTAAGTCTTGGCAGAATTAAGTTATGACCCTTTTCTTTTACATGCCTTTATCAACCCCCTTTACTTATTAGTTAATTCCTATTACTTATCCTTCCCTACATTATTAGCCCTATGCGCAAAACCAAGACTACATCATTGCTAGCACCCTTTACTTACCACCTGGAAGCATCTTAACCAGTGATGTCTCTGGGGGAAATGTAACAATACTTTTTTCGTTAAAAACATTTTGCCTATCTATTTATTAAATTCATAGTTTTTAAATAATTGTAATATTCATAGAAGCACTTGCAAAGTTGTTAATTATTAATGTACGATATTTTATAAACTGTTTTTTATTTAACGGTCAGGTTTTTTTGAAGAAAAGAAAAACCTATTTAAAAGTACGAATTTTTGATTGTCACATTCGTGACTTGTCAATTTGTCTATTTTCAGAACTGCCAGACAGCATCTTGTAGAAATATTTATTGCTATGCTGGACCGTTTTTGAGTAATAAAAAGATTACAAAATTTCTAATTTCTGCAGAAGTTGATACAAAGGCTATAGAAAAGGTTTTGGTAAGTTATAAGTCTACAGGAATTCCCTTTTTATAAAAGGATTATGAAATTTCATGAGCCACATCACTATTGCAGAAAAATACTGTGGCACATAAAATATTAATACAGAGATTGAGTACATTATATTAAATTGATTTTGGTACCTCAACACCTAGATTACAGTTCATGTTGCCACATCTGATCATACTTTATCTGATGATCCATACATCTTAACAATAGCTCTGCAGCATAATGTATGTTGGAAAAAGTTCCATCATAAGACTGCCATCTTCAAAGGACAATACTAATTCCTGCAAGCTTTCCATAATCCATCTAGTTTTATGAGGAAAACAGTTTCTCAGTACCAGTTCCAACAATCTAATTATACACAAATCTATAGGCTATCTTACCAGTATGTCTTTGTATGGAGAATCATGAATACTTGTTTCATTCTTCAACTGCTCAAGGTATGTGACAGTTGAATGGATGTGTTGTTGAAGCAACTTGTGTGCATATGACTTGTGTTGTTTTTCCAGACAGAGGTCCTTTGTGATTATGTTGCACACTGTTGCCTTGGAAATGTCAATGGCTTTTGCTACTGACCTTAACTTTTTTAGATTCTCAGCTGTTACAAGATGCTGCACTTTGGATACCATGGCTGGTGTATGACTTGTTGCAGATCTCTTTCTGGATGATCTTGGTCTCCAAAGTTGATCCATATTCCTTTGTTTTTCAATACTATTAAGTACGAGAGGTATCCCTATCCTGTAAATTATAAATCTCCAATATGAACTTATTTTTATGATCTGTGTGTGTGTGTGTGTGAACATTTTGCATCAGAAAGGGCTTGATACATACCCTTCCCAAAAGTAATCTGTTTTGGGTGGCATCACAGTACCTGTGATCTGCCAAACAATGTTAAAATATAGTTTCAGTACCATTTCACCACACTAGCTGTGGTTTCCTGATTTGCATATTCAAAATTGTTTTATTACAATATACTCAACCCTCTGTATTAAAGGAAAAGGACTTTTATTAAGAACTACAAAACCAGTTAGTTAAGGTCATGCTTAAAGGAGATCTTTGTTTTATTCTGAACAAGAAATACATTTCTTGAAGAAAAATTGCAATGTATAATTTTTTTATTAATTAAAATTTCAAAGGTCTTTGACTGTTATTTCTTTGAAAAAAAATATGAAGAGGAACACTTCCATTAGTTTACGTAAACATCAGTTTATTATCCTAGTACAATAAAAATTAAACATAGAGAAATTATTTTAAAAAATATGTGATGGGGTTTAATTGTATATTCAAAGACAGTTTTTTTTTTAAATTATGCCACTATTTTTAGATACTGTAAGGTACAACTGCCTGTGTATTTATAGCGATTTTATTAAGCAATTACAGCTTATTAACAACAAAATATATTTGTTTTTTATTAATTTTATTTCTTGTTTCTATTTGTATATCATATTTAGTATTAGAATCTTAAAAATACAATTTGAAGACAAAATTGATAGGATTGTTTAGTTGATCTTGATGGAAGTGAAATATTTATATATATATATTGTCAATCTTAAAATGTTATGATAAATTTAATTGATTATTTTCTGTATTATAAGTCAAACAAATACTTTTTTTATCAACCAATTGCAAAATTTAATTTTTGTTACAAAATTACTGTTTCAATCATGTAAGATGTTTTATACATTTTCAAGAATTTCTATTTATTATGAGTATTCTTTGTTTTTGTTATTTAAAGAAGTTAATATATGAATTTAAACTACATTTAAAATATATTCTATATGAAATAAGGGAAAGAAAGATGTCATAACAATTGTGTCTATGGCAAAAGTTTGGATTCCAAATGTTCCAGGAATAGATCCCACTGACCCACCTGGTGAATTTTCTTCGGTGAGATCATTTTTATGATATCTAAAGAAATAAAAGTAAATATTAGGTTTAAAGCAGAATATACTATTGAGATATTATCTTTAGAACAAAACTGATTCAGAAATATCTGGTTTAATTTTCCTTGATAGGTAATCATTATTTGGAGAAAACACATTATCTGCTGTTCACATACAACTTTCTGTCATTCTTAAAGATTATTTTGTTTTTGTGCATGTAAAGTGAACATCTTATTTGTCTCAGACTGTATTTGATGACAACTTGAAGAAAAAGGGTGAAAAACAGAGATGAAATTTGGAGTTATAATCTGTAAAGATGTCAAACTATAAATGCATTAAATGTACATGTACTATGGGGAGCTATACTTAATGCAGATCTCAAACTTCTGACTGAAAGGTGTAGATATGATGAGGGAATTTTTGATCTGTAGCTCTAACAACAAATGAGCAAACACAAATAAGCATGTTTATCTGAATCACCTCTCTACACTTCAATAGTTAGCATCAACTTTTCTAATTTTTATAAATTTATAAGCTGTGGAAAGATGCATACAATTGAATAACCGGCAAAACGTTTTATAACTGTCTATGCATTATATTTGTCTACTTTCTACAAACATAGATAAAAACGAGGCTTGTCTTCACTGGACCACTACTACCAAAGACTGTTGCTACATGGATCTACATTCTAAGTATTATAGTTGGAATTCTATTACTTGTTCTTCTGTGTTATGGGATGTATAGGGTAAGTATACAATAAATATAGTATAGAGTATCAGGATCAATTCAAGATCGATGTCTAATTGAAAATACAATTAGTTTGTTATTATTGAATTATAAATTGAAATTTTACTTGTTTATTTTTTGAGATGTGAATTGAGAATTATGTTTGATTTTTAAAAAAATTCTGATTAACTGTACATGTTTAATCTTTAGATTCCTTTCAACTGGACAGATACTTTAATCATAAAAAGTTGGTTTACCACTCCACATATTATATGTGTCTATGTGTTAATTCTGATACGATACATAACCTCCTATATATGAATGTTTTGCTCGCCACTAGCTTTGGGGCTTCCATCTAATATTACGCAAATGAGCATGTGACAACCCTTCACTATGAGGAGTGCAACATCCTATTAGCACAGCTGGCTCCCTATATACTGATTGTTCAATCATCACATATCGATTTGGAACTCTTGTGTTAAGATGTTTGGTTAGACTATCTACAAAACCAACTATTGTGGAAGTATTTTTTGTTTTTATTTCAAACATTTTTGCCTCTGAAGACTTTATAGTTCTTATTTTCCATAACATGAATTACACAGAGATGGTCATTTCCACACTGTCTAGTGTAAAAAATCTTGACTTTGTTCACTCTAGACAGGCAACCACAATAGCATTGGGTGCTTCTTTGTCAGTCATGGGATGCAACAGCCATTGTGTAGTGGGTGGCGGAGTCTTGTATGTAGCCTGGGCCTTTTATAGGCCTTGACATGGACTTCTCTCTTGTAATTCCTGTTCATGAGGATGTGGATTTTAGACAGTCTTTTCCTGTGCAGACGTGGATCTACCTTGACATTCTCTGTCTTTCCATGTCTTTTCTTATCAGGTATATTACATTCTTTCATTTTCTCATATTTCTTATTATTCATTACTTTCCATCTTCATTTGACCTTTTCTTTAGAATATTATATTTTTCCTCCTCTTGATAACTGAGCCCATGTTGAAACTTTTTCGTCTCAGTTTCACTCTGTTGATAATATGATTTGTTCTCCTAATATGATTTGTTGCACATGGCTTGGCTTACAATTGAGTTGACACCCCATTTTTGGACTTTCAAACTCTGGAGTCTCTTCTTAAGGCTTGGGTTCTGATCCACTGTCCTCTGTTAGTCTTTCTCAAGCTCAGTTTTCTTACTTTTGCTTTACCTTTTACATTATCCATCCTCTACCACTTGGTTACTCTGTTGCTGATTGGGGAGGGACACCCTTATTGTTCATCTGGCTCCTTTCTTCCAACAGTGGTAAGGTAACTGATTCATTGTAGTCACAGGCTCAGGCTATGTGTGACATTTTTCTTTGACTACCCTTGTGCTTCATCTTTCCCAAGTTCCTTTCCTTCTAGTTGCTGTCTCCTGTCCTCCTGACTTTTTTCTGCTTCTTGTTCTTCCATCCTGTTCCTCTTCTCCAGTCTGTTCTTTCACTGTCCATGGGACTCAGCATAGACAATTTTGTCTGTGACTATCTTCAGGGCTCAGGAATAGTGGCTGCCCATTTGGCTTAATATCTATAGATTCCTTTTGTTTTTTTTTCTCTCCTCTCCTTTTGTCTCCTTCGTGTTCCTTTCCCTTCTCTAAGGGATTCTGTCTCCCACTAGCATCTCTCCAAGGTGGTGTCAGACCTTTTAGCTAAGGATTCTATCAAAAGGGTTTCTCACCCTTTTCTGGAACTTTGTTTCCACCTGTTTGTCATTCTCCAGTACACTGGGAAATGGCATTTGGCATTCTGCCTTGTCTTATGGTTTTGTTCTCCTCTGGATTCCCCACTATACTTTTCCCACATTTCTTCTTCTAGTAGAGCATGAGAATCCTTGCTACTCATCAGTTCCTAGCTACTGGATGACTCATACTGAGTGTGACCGCTTTTTAAATAGTAGAGAGTAGGGTGGTGATGTTCTGTCTGTGTAGTACAGTATGCTCCTTTTACCTGCTTTCCCCCATTCTACTTGTACCCAGAAGCTGGGTTCCTGGGTGGTCTGGTGTTGGATTAGCACAGAATCAACCAACTTACTCAGCTGCACGTTGGATGTTACTTTCCTATTCTGCTTCATTGGGCTTGAGGTGAAGATTGTAGGGACTCTTCTCCTACTGTGGCCTGGAAACTGAATTTCCAGTGATCTCTGGTTTTGTACTGGAGTTGACCCACCACATATGGTTTGATTTACCCTAGCCACACCACACATATAGCGCTTCTGAAAGCCTGATGCACGTTTTTGGTTGCTTGTATTTTTCGCCCATCCTTGTAACACTTCCCTTCCCTTTCTTTCCAGGCAAAGAGTGTACCCTGGTACATACTAGGTATGGTCTTCTAGAGTGTGCTCCTATACTGTTCCAAGGTATAGAGTTTCACACTCCAAGGTTTCTCTTTTGGTGCTTCTTGAAGGAGGATCATTTCAGTAACATTTTGCACCAGTCCTTCCGCCACATCGTTGGGGATTCTAGCTATATGCAAGCGGAGATTACATATACATAACAGTTTCCAAGTTGAAAATGTTAATCTCCCATCTCACACTTCCTTCCCTCATAAGGTGTATCTTATTTTCTTGCCCAGTCTTGAAATGAAGATTAAAGAATCAGTATAGAGGGAGTCAATTGGGCTACGAGGTGGTGTCGCATTCCTATTGGTTAGGTGGGCTGGCAGTGTATATCTGTTAAATCAGGAAAAAATATTCATAAAGTATCTATCTAGTGGAAATAAATTTTCAGTGTTGGAAAATGTTTCACAACTATCACTTTTTCAATAACATCAGCATGGTTAGACAAAGGTAGAAATATAAAACTAATTTTTTTTTGTAAATATCTTAATTAGTGTTAGAGAATTGTGATTTAAAAATTTATTTAAAAAATACAATTGAAAGTCTATTTTCATCCATTTTTTAGATTGGATTTTTCCGAAGAAAGAAGCATGAATATTTAGAAAAAATGATGAAAGACTTAGCAAATAAAGAAAATATAGAACTTTCAACGAATTCTCAAGACAATTTAACCTAGGTTAGGTGGATTGGCAGTGTTTATCTGTTAAATCAGAAAAAAAAATATTCATAGGCATTATTTGCATTTTTTTAAGCTTAGTTTATTGGATATCGTTAATTTTTATTTTATTTACTTCATCAGAGATTTTGGTATCTCATGAGCTGTTCATTTACTTGGAAATGATTATTTTCATTATTATGTTGGCTAAAATCATGCACCCACTTACATTATGTAAAGTGAATTTCATACTGAGTAAACTGTTGAATTTTATTTTGAAATAGATTATCTTAATGCAGACAATAAAATATGGTTTTTGACAGAGTTTCTGACTTTTTTATGGTGACTGTCATTTACACATGGATACCACATTTTATGTGACTAATATACTTCTGATGTGGTATAATACTAGTGTGCTTATTAGTTTTTAGTTATTCTCTCCAATGTTTGGGCACTGAAAGAAAGGAGATGTTCAATAACCAAAAGGTATAATTCGATGACCAGGAACCCCCTTTGAGACTAATAATGGTTGGAGACGGCTTGAATGGGTGATGAAGAAAAACTTTAATATAAGTTTAAAATAACAGCAAATGTACAACGTTTCGA